CCGATCCAATGTAAGGGGGTCCATGGGCACTTTGGGTTTTGGGGGCCCTTTTTGGAAAACCCAAAAAAGTCTAGCTGATTTGGGGTTTGTAGGGATGAGCGAAAGATTTTTTTTCCTTCTTCTGATTTCCTGAGTATACTGCGGGTCTACTGAGAAAAAATCGTTTTTTTCCCCCAAAGCATTTTCGGGATGAAACGAAAATTTTTTGGCTCTTTCAAAAACTTGCTCTTACTAACGATCACTTTTAGGATGACCACTCCTCCTCCTTTTCCGCTGTGGTGATAAATACATTCTAAAATCCCTTCTTTTCCTGCTCTTACCACATCTACGAGAGTGCAAGGAAGACTATCAGTTTTGCCCAAAAGATTATTTCCATATCTCACCTAGCCTCACTTCCCTTCCCACTCCGACAGCCACCGCCGAAAACACTTAACAAAGTTACCACCGCCAACCTACAGCAGAAACTAGGGCTCTCAAAGAAAACTTGCCTCTCCCCTGTCAACACCGCAAAAAGGGAAAAAATTGGAAGCGACATCACAATAACCTTTCTTCTTATGTTCTCATGATACAGATCCGAACACTCAGCTAGGGCCAGTTTGCTACGGATACGAAGCTAAATGCGAGTTAGACACAGGACAAAAACCTTTCTTCCGGGGACTCTATTTAACAAAGGTTTTTATACAAGGGCTTATTTCGCTCTGAATTTTTGAACCCAGTCGTCCAGCATTTCCCGTCGCTCACCAGCACTCAAAAAAATTTGCTACCAATAATGATATTCCCCCCCCCATCACCACACGGACAAAGGGGAGGAGTGGTCCCTCCCAACAGTACAGCACTTAGAAGATCAAGATTTTTTGAACGACGCCAACACATACTTTTCCCTCCCCCAACATCATGGGGGAAAGAAACAGATTTTTTTTCTCATAAACCCGCAGTATACTCGGAAACAAAGAAGGTAAAAAGCTCTTGCGCCTCATCCCTACCAACCCCCAATCACTAACTTTAGGTTTACCAAAGACCCACAAAACCCAAAAGTGCCTTGAACCCATTACATCGTATCGGCAGCCCCCTCACAGCACAGGATTTTGGCGAAATATTTGTCAAAGCTCCTGGGCAAACATCAGGCTCACTAAAACTTTGGGGGACCCCCAAAAACCTAAACAGGGGTCCGACATGATGATAAAACTTCAAGTTTTTTACGGACTGCCTTATTCACCAAATTCCCATTGTCAAGAATTTACTTTTTCGCAGGGTGATTAAAGGAACAGAGTTACCTTTACCCCCCAAGATTTTGGGGGGAGCCTTTTTCGAACTTTGTGTTCGTTTTAACTGTTTTAGTTTGAGGGGCAAGAAGTACAACAACTCTTCGACTAGCCATGGGGTCCCCCCTTTTGCATTCTTTCCCAATTTTTATATGGAGGACCTGGAATCAAGAAAGGGTCCCCCAAAAACATCCCCGTTCTTTCTTGGATGCGGTACGTAGATATATTTTTGGGCATTGTACCCCAAAAAAACTTGACGTACAGGGGATCCTCACACCCTCAACAAACTGGAACCTACTATTAAATTTTACTCTAAGGAGGGGAAGGAAACCAGTTTCCTTTTTTTCACGTTCTCTTTCGCACAGGGGGGAAAACAAACTTTCTTTTAAAATCTACCGAAAACCACTACAAGAATGATCTTCTACATTTCTTTTCTACCATACCCAAAAAACTAAAAGAGGGTATTATTTTCTTCTTTCGAGAGCCTACAGAATTTCCAGTCCGCATTCCTCGAAGAAGAAAGTACATACATCCCAACTCTTTTAGTTTACACACTTCCCCCCACACTTTATACGTGACTGCGGAAACGTCAACACTACCTCAGCAAGACCCAAACCCTTTAAATTGAAGAAAGCCAAGTACATCGTTTTAAACCCGCGCAACGTTCCACTAAGTTTCAAAAAAGTTTGACAAAAATGGCTAAAAAATCTCCAGCTCTTCAACTACTATTAGAAACCCATCAAAAAAACCCAGCATGATTCTTTACAAGTGCAGGAATCTACACTATCCATGGGGGGTGTACAAAGTATATGTAGGGAAAAGCCCAAAATCTGGGCATTTAAAAAAACAGAACACAAAATTGCTTGCGAAAAATGACCCAAAAAAGCATGTTTCAAATAAGGGCATTTGGAACCTCATGAAATTCAAGAAGCAAACAGTTATTAAAGAAACGACTTAAGACGGGGAAAAAACATTTTAAGCTGCCAAAAATTTTTGTCATAACACTATAAGCAAAAAACCGGTATTACATATTTCAAAATTACTAACAAAGATATTACCCATCCGGGAACTGGGGTTACTTGGGTGCCAGCAGGTCCCCTCTAACCTCACCTCCTTAGTTCCATTACACTACTACTACATTACCACCTTTTTCCCACGCTTCACCTCACCTGACTCCCCCCACTATATAAGTTGAACATTAAAAAATTTTGGGTTTTTTATTTTCTCTTATTTGGGCTGAAGAAGCCACCGGGAAACTTTCCTTTAATAAAGTCCTGAACTTACATAAGTGTCTTTTTCCACATCTTTTCGGGACACCATACCCTTTCCCCAAATCTTTCAGGTTCTCGGGATCTATAGTTTACTCTCCTGTTTTGTTGATAGTTCTTACTCCCCGTAATATTTCCTTTTTCCCTTTTTTAATAGGGTTGGTCTATTTAAAACCTGGTATGTGCTGCCAGATAAAGTCCCCTCTGAAAACAAATGATAAACACAATTAACTTCTTTAATAACGCTAAATACACGAATTGTTCGCATACATTATACTTAACACCTAAATAATTCCAGCAAGTGTTGAAATTTACCTATGATATGATTTTCGGTAGAACTAAGTTTCTTGCAAAATTTCATCGTATTATTTTCACACGATGCTTCCCACAACAGTCTACTAACACTTAAGTATCTACTTACTGTTAATCAAACCCAGGACCTTTTCGTTTGCGAAGAGTTCACTGACCACTGAGCTACGGGTCGCCTCATGAGGAAGCGTCGAGCCCACAAAGGTAATTTACTCAAATTTTGGTCTGGTCATCTGTCTTTCCTTTCTATTTTCGTCTTCCTTTTATATATCTAATTTGTATTTTCCCTAATTATTATTACGTACTGATGGATATGTGGGTGGTTGTGTGTGGTGATGGGTATGTGGGGTATTAGATGTGATGGGTATGTGGGGTGTATGTTAGGTGTGGTGAGGGGTATGTGGGGTATTAGGTGTGATGGGTATGTGGGGTGTATGTTAGGTGTGGTGATGGGTATGTGGGGTGTTGGTCTATTGTGGGGAGGGTGCAAAAATATTTTTAGATATGTATTTGTTATGAACACGGATATAATTCAGTGTGTATAGCCTACAAATATCCTAGTTTAAGAAACCAGCGTGGTAAGAGTGATATTGAAGCACTGAATACGTTTCCTAAGTGCTAATAAGCTTTGCTCATCCAGTTGTATTCTGTTTCTGCAGAAGTTGAGCTTTAGCACTTAGTTTCTTCTTTGCTCGTTTATTAGCCGGCATAGCTTATTTCCTGCTCTCTTTGAACTTTGTCACGTCTACTTTGGAATCTATGTAGTATTAAGTTTGCTTTCACTTAACCCCTTTAGTTTAATATCTTTATTATGTACCCCATACCCATCCTATGGGCGGTAATACTTAACCCCTAAGTCATATATTTATTAACTACCTTTACAGTAAAATAACTATTCTTCTGACTTCTTTGAATTTCTAATTTTGATATGTCCTTTTGTTTGTCTCTTCTCACTTCAGATAATCTACATAATCTGGTGGGCATTTTAATTATAACCTGTGATGCCTCTGGCTCTTGTTGAATATAGGGATGAATCATCTCGTTCTTTTTATCCCTGTATCCTAGCCCTCTTGGGAGCAAATAGCTGAGATTTCTAATTTTTCTTTAAATTTCTCCGAGCTCTTTGCCAGGCTTACGCTTGAGCGAGTTCCAACAGTTCAATAACCAGCCACTGGACGCTGTTTTTAAATGATTCATCATATACGTGTGGGGAAACTTATTTATCAATTCATTTAATCTTTTGCCTCCAAAACCATTCTTTTGCAGTACTGAGGAAGCTAGTTCATAAACATTTACTATTAGCACTAGTGTTTGAGGTAAATATTGAGCTTCAGGGATCTATCGAGTGTCGCCAAAATTTATAATGGAAAGTGTTTAATATTGACTGTTTTGTGCAACGGAGACGGTTTTGTTTTATGCGGAATAGGGGAAAAAACAATTAATATATTTTTGGGGGGATCTCAAGAAGAATATTTTAAAAATCGTTACTGCAGTCAAACTAGCCTAATTAAAACCATCATAACCTAACCTAGCCCACCCCAATTGAACCCAATGTACATTCAAGAGAGACTGCTGGTGTGTTGATACCTGGAGTTTACCTGGAGAGAGTTCCGGGGGTCAACGCCCCCGCGGCCCGGTCTGAGACCAGGCCTCCTGGTGGATCAGAGCCTGATCAACCAGGCTGTTGCTGCTGGCTGCACGCAAACCAACATACGAGCCACAGCCCGGCTGATAGTATTGGGTTAGTGAATTACGCGCGCTGATTTGCCCGGAGTACAATTTATCTGATACATTCTATTTACAAAAAAAAAAAAAAAAAAAAAATTGTTGCTAATATTACCCTCACAGAAATTTACACAAATTATTTTTGTCGGACTATGGATAGAATGGGTTATTAAAATGAAAATTAAGGATTAATTCGTTGGAGGCCCTAATATTGGCCGTTTTGGCATCTTCATCCTTGGCATTAAGTGATTTGAATTTATTGGAACACTCAGCATAATTTGAACTATTGCTAATAACTTAACTTTAGCTAGCCACGCCAAGAACATAGCATATATAAAGTACGTACATAATATTTTGTGTAGGCATGTTAGTACTGCACTTGTTTCTTGTTAATGAAGCAGTTTTTCTAATGTTATGCTAATTCTTGTATTTACAGAAATCGGTTACTGAGCTGAATGTTATTGTGCAAGATCTATACTGCAGTGTGGAGGACGACCATAGAGAAATGAGGTTTACAGAAGGGCAGTTTTACCTTCGAACTCGCGGAGACATTGTGCTCTCAGACACTGCTGGTTATCTGAGTGGTTTGCGCATCAACAACTATTGTGTCAGCCATTCTTTGGACGAGAAGGGGAATCTCGCATCGATACTAAAGGCGTGTGTCCCCCCTCCCTCTATACCGCGTTGGCTGCCCCGTTGTGAAGCTCTCAGTGATGTGTGTGTAGCATAACACCATCTCCACCTCTACTGTTGCCTCCACTGTCTGCTGGGCTCTTCAAGAACAGCGTCCAGTGGCCAGTTATCAGAAACCACTACAACCCACTCAACTGCACCGAGGATCCTATGAAAACATTGTTATTGGGCTCTGAAGTATCCCACCTAGTAGCCCTCCCAACAGGTGTCATACACACCTGGGTGTTATCTGAGGACACAGCCGAACGAAAATACACGTATCCTCCGGAATTTTGTGTAGATGGACGGGAGAATCTGGATGGATCTCTTACATACACAGCCAACTTGTGTTACAGTAACCCGCAAGAACACCACCACAAAATTTGTGATGGTAACATTTGTGTGCGCAAGTGTTGTAATTCTGGACAAATACTGGACGTTTCATACCGATGTATTCGTTATAATATAACATTTACACCAGCCATCAACATCAGCATCACACAGCCATACAAGACGGTGATAGGAATGGCGCTCTGTTCGTCAGCAACGAATGTCACAACTTACTCTGGACGGGACGGGACATCTTATTTACCAGGGAGAATTTTACCCCCTAACCGACTACTGTATTGATATTTCGACGATGGCAGGAAAAGCTAAAAAAAACTGTTTAGTTTGGTCTGAGTGTGGATTCAGAATGGGACAAAATTCGCAAAACGCTTATTCCTGCTGTCAGATTATTTCGCTGGTTTTTATGTTTCTGACAGTTACATGTTACTTCAAGGTTCCAGAACTTCTCAGAATGGTGGCTGGTACCAGCTCTGGCATGTGCTCTCTCTCATGCATAGCCATTCTTGTAACGTAACACAGGTAATCTTGAGAGAGGCTGATGACCTAACTTGTATAATACTAGGTAAGTTTTTCTTTCCATTGTACGTTTTATAGAATTTATTTAGGAACAGTTTTGTCATTTTGACTTAACATTTAAATTACTTTCCAAGTTTGATTAATTCGTAGTATATTCATAGGTGCATGCAAATATATTTCATAATGTTGAAGAGGTCTTGGTTTACCAGAGCATTAAAAAGTATACCAGATGGTTAATTCTCTCAAAACCATAATTTACCATACGAGCCTATTGCACTAACGACCACAAAAATTAATTTGATCTCGCTCATATTTCTTTCACGGGGGCTTCCTGATACTGGCTAAGACCTTTTGTTCCAAGGAATTTGAGTTACCCTCTCTGAATCAGACTATAACCTACCATTCCCTTGGCACTGTATGAACCTCTACAGTGAGCATCCAGCCTTACTATCAGTGCCGTACGATCTGTTTACGTAAACGGTCTACTGCATTGTAAATGATGGAGTATTTTTTGTTGTTTAACTCTGGAGAATTCAATGTGTGTAAATTAAATCGATATATTCACAATTGTTTCGTATTTATTTTCTCTCCAGCAAATCTAACTATGCCATATTTGCACTTCGATCATTGTGCTTTCACAAATAATAAACAGTTAAAAATGCTGCATTTATTGTACTGTGCTATATTGTGTAATGAAGATATAATTTTAGAACTAATATATTTGTAATTATGTTTAGTTTTGGATAAAATATATAACCTCTGATTTTTTTTTTCACAGCACTCACCATGCAACTTGGATATCTTGCCGCATTCTTCTGGCTTAGTGTTCTGTGCTTCGAAGTCTGGAGAAAAGTTAGGTAAGTTTGCTTAGTTAGGTTTGGATTTATTACTGAAGCTAATTTTTGTCATAAATGATATTTGAATGACCTGTTTTTGGAAATTAAAAATGGCAAGACACCCACCCTTTCTACTCTAACTCAAGCTGAATGAACCCTGATTGCTTATCATTATATATATATATATATATATATATATATATATATATATATATAAAATATATATTATATATATATATATATATATATATATATATATATATATATATATGTACAGTGGTTCCTCGCTTTTCATAGTTCTCGGCAATCGTAAATTTCGCCAATCATAGGGTATTTTCATATAAACATGGACTCGCTTTTCATAGGTTGACTCGCAAATAGTGCAAATAGTAGTTCGTCCGGGACGCGTACGCACAGTGTGAGCCAAGGCGGCCTCCCTACCCAGCCAGTCTGGCATTGTTTACCAGTGAGTGAAGGTCCCCTCAAGTGCTCTTACGAAATATTTCATAATATTCCACTTATTTTAGTGCTTGCAAGTACTAAATAAGCTACCATGGCTCCAAAGAAAGCTCCTAGTGCCAAGCCTGTGGTAAAGAAGGTGAGAAATATGTACAGTGACAAAGTCTTGGGCCATTTTAGGGAAGTGTTAAAGAGACGCCAGAAACAGAGCTCTCTCCACAGTTACTTTGCGAGACAGGACTAGAGTGACTCTCAAGGTGGTCCTAGTGCCATTGAGAAACAGAGAAGAGAAGCAACCCCAGAGAAGCAATTGGTACCTGAGGTGTTGCTGGAAGGGGATTCCCCTTCCAAACTGTAAACAATCCAATCTCTCTCCTCCTCCAGTCTCCCATACACTAAGAAGAATCTCCAATAAAGGTAAGTGTTATGCTGTTAATGTTTCATTCATCATTTCCCATTGTATTGTTTATGTACTACATGTATATTAAATGTAAAAAAAAATTTTGTTTTAATACTTCTGGGTGTCAGGAACGGATTAATTGTATTTACATTATTTCTTATGGGGAAAATTGATTCGCAAATCGTAAATTTCGTTTGTAGTAGCTCCTCCAGGAAGGGATTAATTACGAAAAACGAGGGACCACTGATATATATATAATATATATAAAATAAATATATATAAAATATATATATATATATATATATATATATAATATTATATATTATAATTATATATATATATTTTTTTTTTTTTTATTTATTTATTTAGGGGTGGTGAGTAATCGTTTATTCAGTTCCTTGAGTTTGCATCCTTTTACTAGCTTAAAGGGCACAAACCCTTTTCCTATCTTGGTAAATCATTTTTGGGACATTTGACAATCGCCACCTCTCCTACAGGAGCCTGAGCAGATACCCTTCCCGCTACTTATATGCCAGTTTGGTTTCTACCACTTTTTTGCCTTTGGAGGACCGTTCGTGATTGGTTTGTAGGACTTTCCTCGAGTTCACAACTGTTATATCTTCTATAATGAAGCAGTGTTAAGCAGAAGATTGACACCACTTCAGCTTGTACTATACATGTGCAAGAATGGTATATAATCCCGACAAGATGAAATTAAGACACATGTGCAACATCTGGGTATCTTTATTGTAGACGTTTAAACCATCCAGTGGCTTTATCAATGCAAATTCCAGGACATAACTGAAGACAGTAGGGCTATATACAGAAAATGAGGAAATCAGGTAATGAGGTAATCTTCGCACCTAACTCCTAGGTTGAGGGACTGATTACCTCATTTTCTTATATAGTCCTACGTCTTCAAGTTATGTCCTGGAATTTGTATTGATAAAGCCACTGGATGGTGAAACGTCTACAATAAAGATACCCAGATGTTGCACATGTCTTAATTTCATCTTGTACTATACATTTTACCTAATACCGTACCTCTTCACCACTTTGCAGAATTATTACAACATTATGCAGTACCTAGCACCAGATAATGTACCAGGGATTATCAACCCCTTTATTATCGAGACAAAATGTTGGTTCGTAGGGAAACGCAAAACGATTTGGAATCTGTATTTTATCGAATAGAAAATTTTCATATATAGTGGGGAAAATAAACAGAACAAATTATTCCTGATGCTTTAATGACCCAAGTGGGCTTAACGCAACTATAAATATAATGAAGATATAAAAATCTCATTCTTTTTTATGTCATGTCATCCCCTGTCCAGTGGCGGATTTAGTTACACAACCCGCACATAAAAGAGAGAAGCTTACGACGACGTTTTTGGTCCCAAATCGGACCGGAAAAGTCGTCGTAAGCTTTCTCTTTTTATGTGCGGGTTATTTGTGTAAACGTTCAGTCACGGTATTTTGCCTTTTTTGTTATTTATTTGCGGGTTTAGTTTTATAAAAAAAACAAGGATCAAGCGTGAGAACCTAAAAAACTTTAATGAAACAAAAATAATTAAATTTGTAACTTTATTTGCATCAATCTGAGTAATTGCAAGCATGAACAAATTTTTAAAATATAAATATATTGTGTGGAAAAAAGACACTTATTACAGTTCAGGACATTTATTAAAGGAAACGTTTCGCCATGAGTGGCTTCTTTCAGTCCTAATACAGAGAAAACTAAGAAAACATATATATATATATAAGTGGCAGGAGTCAGGGAGGTGACGCGTGGGGAGAGGTGGTAGTAGAGTGGAACTAAGGAGGTGATGCTAGAGAGGGACCTGTTGGCATCATGTAATGCCCGTTCCCAGGATGGGTAATATCCTCTTGGCTTAGTAATTTTGAAATATTTTAACTACCGGATTTTTGCTTCATAGTGTTACTGACAGAAATTAGTGCAGCTTCAATGCATTTTCTCCGTCTTAATCGTCGTCTTTAATCACTAGTTTAGCTTCATTGAATTTCATGTGTCCAACATCGTCCCTATGTTGAACACATGCGTTTTTGTGGTCATCATTTCTGCAAGCATTTTTGTGTTCTGCTATCCTAATGTCCCTCTTCAAGGGGGGCTCCTTGGCGTGGTGAAGAGGCTCTTGGTCTGAGAATTAGACCTGTCGGTCTTCTTCCTCAACTGAAACCCAATTACCCCCCAATCTCCCTCCCCTATCCCATCCTCCCCTTTTTCCATTCCTCCTCCTCCCCACCCCCCCTTTTGCCCTTCCTCTTTTTGGCCTTTGGGATTTCTCCCACAGGCACTCTAGTTCCTAGGTAGGGGAAAGGACACCGGGTCCATCCCATTCCGTTGAGGTTCCCTTGGGGAGTGGCATAGTTTGCCGTGGAATCTGGATCGCCTGGGGTGTCCCAATCCCCCTCCGGTATCCGGAGTACTTTGGGTGTCTTTCGGGCGACGGGTGTATCTCTGGAAGCCACCTTTCGGATTCCGGGGGTGGTGGCCGAAGGAGGTATGCTTTGTGGCGGATATCCGGCCGCCCTCTCTTTTGTCCACTGAGGTAGCTCGGCAGATGTGAGGTTGCTATCCCGGATTGCTGGTTTACTGGCATGAAGGGTAGGTATGGCACGGGTTCCATGCTGCATCTGCACTACTAGTGGTGCTGAGGTCCTCTTGGGCGCGGAGGGAGATTTCTGGCCCTTTCATTCCTACTGGGAACTATTCCTCCCCGCTCCCCCCTTTTTTTATTCTTTTTTTTTATTTTTTCTTTCTTTTTTTTCTTAAAAACAAAAAGCAAAGGAGTAACCTAACCATGGAGAACCCAATCCATGAACCCACTACCCCCGGGCCCCTTCTTGATACCGCACCCCATTCTGACCCTGCCTTGTGTTTAGACCACTCTTCGGACACTCCTGATGCCCCTGTACCTCTTGCTGGTGCTGTTTCCTCACCCGCTTCAGGTACCAGGGCTTCGACTGACTCCTTCAATTTGTCTCAACTCCATTCTCCTTTGTGCTTCCAGCTTCTCCCTCTATGGTACGGCAATTTTCGAATCGCCCGCCCATTTCACGCCGGACCAACTCCGGTCCTACTCCTAAACGCCAACGTCAATCTTCTGATGATGCTCCTTCGTTACCTTCCCATTCTACTCGGAAAAGACCGACACGTCAAGCACTCCCTCTCCACGCTCAGTTTCAGACCACACAATGGACTAAATTCTTTACTTTAAGACCGACTTCTTCTTCTGCCTACCTTTCTGACCATAGTATTGGCAAAGCGCTCCTGCGTCATGTTGGTAGAGATATTTCATTTCATGCTTTCAAGAGCGTTACACGCATCATCACTGTCCAGAATGCTACCCAAGCTCGTGATCTTTCTCTCCTTTCGAATATCGATACTACTACTATCACTATTGAAAAACATCTTTCTCACAATTCTTGTAGTGGTACTGTCATTCTGCCCCATACCATAGTCCAACAGAATTTCCAGTCATGTGGCAATGACATTCTTGAACAGCTGGAACTCCAAGATCTCCCAATCCTCAAAGTAGACACTTATGTCCTTCCTGCCTGGGGGTGGAGACGTTACCCTTGCAATGTGGCTCGTTTAACTTTTGACAGCCGAGAACTCCCGTCCTCTGTATGTGTCACGGGACATCGGTTACAAGTTCGAAAGGTGATACCTACACCGCAACAGTGTAGAAATTGCTGGCGTTTTGGTCACCCAGCGAAATATTGCAGATCTATGGCCGAATGCCCAGTCTGTGGTGCCGGCGACCATTCTAATACATCTTGAAGTCAACCTCCATCTTGCCTTAATTGTAATGAAGCTCACCCTTCTTACTCCCACGGTTGCCACGTCTACTTAAATGAACGTGAAATCCGTTGTCTCAAAGAGGCAGAAGGTCTCCCTTATGCTATGGCAGTTACTCATCTCCGCCTCCAAGGGAGACTACCCCGTGTTTCTTATTCTCGTGTTTCCAAACATCCCCCCACTTCTGGGGTCCCATCTTCTGCAGCCTCCTCTGTTGTTACCCCTCCCATAGCCACTCCGGCATCTAATCCTTTTGCTGTCCTTGGCTCTGACGTCCCGACTACAACTCAGTCTGTTCTCACATCTTCGCGTCCTTCCTCACAAGCCCCAGTATCG